CGCCCCAGGCTGATTAAAGTTGTATTTCCCTCTCGATACTATTGGCGGCTTGCTTTATCAAATTCGCGGTTACTCAAAAATAATGGCTATTCTAACATTTATGTTAGAAAGAGTATGACGGCAGAGGAAAGGGCCCGCAATTATGAACTCCGGCAACAAGCTCGCGAGCGTAACAAGGGCATGGCCACCAAAGAGTGGGTAGTATATCGCGATGAATTAGTTCACATCTCTAAGCTTCCTCGCAGAAGCTCGGGAAACGTCTGAACGGGCATGGTGAGACTGATTCATTACAAATAATCCTTTTTAACGCACGAAGTCTAAGAACTAAATTGAACTATCTGCACGCTTTTGTCTATGAATACAAACCCGACTTACTTTTTATTACTGAAACTTGGCTTAATGTAAAAATACTTGATTCTGAGGTTGTGGGTGGTATGCCTTATGTGCTATACAGAAGTGACAGAAATAATCGAAAAGGTGGTGGTGTTTGTTGCCTGGTAAAAGGTAACATAGCATCTAGATGCACAAATATTGAAATGTCTTTGCTAGCAGATGTGTTGATTGTCACTGTTATCCATCCACAATCTTTACGCCTACGATTCATCGCGATATACCGCCCACCCAGCTCTAGCAAAGATAATGATGATCAACTGATGAATGTGATTAGTTCTTATACATATTCTTCTGATCATGATAACACGATTATTCTAGGTGACTTCAATCTGCAAATCGACTGGGTCACTATGAAGGCCACTAATAGTGCATCCCTATCATTTTTTGAGTATTTTCAACATAATGATTTCAAACAATTTGTCTCGCATCCTACGCATGGTGACCATATCCTTGATCTAGTCCTCTCCTCTGACGCACGAATTTCTAATCTTGATATTCTCCCACCGCTTGGCTCCTCTGATCATGGGATGGTTCAGTTTGAGTGTGAGGGCCCTGCGACCATGGGTTTGCCATCCATACCCCTTCCTGACTTTCATAGTGTTGACTACTCTGCACTGAATGATTTTCTTTCTAGAGTTGACTGGCTTGCAGAATTTGACCAATATGAGTCGTGCTCAGAAGTTTACCTTAGATTTTGTAAGATAATTTATTCTGGCCTTAGCATGTTTGTTACTATGAAATATCCCAGCGACACACTTATAAAACTCCCTCCTCACATTGACGCACTCAACATGCAAAAATGCCGGCTTTTCGACAAATTGCATGATCCACTACATAGTCCCATGTATAAAAGAGTGTGCCATGACATTGATTTCCATATGCAAAAGTTTTTAGCTAATCGAGAGCGTCGCCTTGCTTCTAAAGCATGCGCTCGAAATTTGTATAGATATATAAATTCCAGAATGAAAGTTAGTGCCAGTCTCCCTACTCTTGAAGATCATTCTGGGTCTAGTTACTATGATGATGCGGATAAAGCGAGAGTACTAGGTGCTTATTTTGCCAGTGTTTACAATAACGATGATGATTATGAATCTTCTGCACGCAGTAACTCTGTAACACCAGACAATCATTCTATAAGAGTGTACTTTGAACCGTCCGAAGTTTTCAAGTTTCTCAAAAAATTAAAACCATCTGCCACAGAAACTTATGATGGCATTCCTCAAATTGTCTACAAAAGGTGCGCATCCGCTTTATCTGCCCCCTTAGCCCACATTTTCAATATTTCTATGATGTTGGGTGAGGTGCCAAATTTATGGAAGCATGCCCTGGTCACTGCCATCCCAAAGATACAAGGAGCCAAGTTAATCAGTGATTTTCGACCCATCAGTCTTTTACCAGCACCAGCTAAGGTTATGGAAAGAATCATACGAGGTAGGTTGCTGGCAAGGCTGAATAAATTACATCTAATCCCAGCTGAGCAGCATGGCTTCATCAATGGTGCTTCTACCACAACAAATCTTGCTGATAGTACCTATGACTGGATTTTAGCTCTAAACCATAAGAAATCCGTGGATGTACTGTATATCGATTTATCCAAAGCGTTTGACAAGGTCTGTCACTCTAAGCTTCTTGAAAAGCTGAAGGAAATTGGTATTGATGGTCCTCTTTTCAACTGGTTTAGCTCCTATCTACAAAACCGTTTTATGACTGTCAAAGTACGTAATAAATTTTCGGATGCATATTCTTGTGTAAGCGGCGTTCCCCAAGGAGCAGTTCTCTCCCCTCTGCTTTTTCTCATATATACGCTTGATATACCAACAATACTCCGAACGTCCCCAAACATACGGATACAATTATATGCAGATGACATAAAGATATATGGTGCTTGCAGTTATGATAATCGATTGGAGGTACAATCAGCATTGCAAGAATCGCTCACTAAACTGGTCACTTGGGCCAATCACTGGCGTCTAGCAGTTAATCTGAATAAAAGTTTTGTCTTACATATGGGTGACCAGTATGCAGGCACTTATATGGTAGATGATACAGCTTTGAGGATGTGTTGCTCAGCTAGGGATTTGGGAGTCATTATTGATTCGAAGCTCAAATTCTCTCAGCAGATTGATGCTGTTGTTAGGAGGGCTTATACTTTCTTGTTTGTTCTTTTTCGGAGTGTAAAAACTAATTCACCTGTTCTTTTGACGCGTCTCTACAAATCTCTAGTTCGTCCCCACCTAGAATATTGTTCCCAGGTGTGGAACCCCAATCGAAAGAAGGACATCGAGAAACTTGAAAAAGTACAAAAAACTTTTACACGTCTTTTGTACAGAAGAGTCACTCCTAGTAATGCCCCTCCTGCTTATGAAGTACGACTAAAAAAGCTAAATCTACAAAGTCTCTCCTTTCGTCGTAATATCTCTGACCTTATTTTTTGTTTTCAAGTGCTTAGAGGAGAAACCAAGCTAAAAGCAAGTAAATACTGGATTTTTATGCCAACTAGTCAGAGATTGGGAGGCTTCAACCTTCATCATGTCAAGATTATGATATTACAATACGATATAGATTACAATAAGGATAAAATGCATAACAATCTGTTTTGTAGGATCACACGTTGGTTTCAGCTCTTTCCCAAGGATTTAATTGCTTCACGCGATGCACGATCCTTTAAGGCTAAGTTGATGAAATTGACCGAAGGTGATAAATTACATTTACGTTTTTAAAAACGTATTATTTCAGCTTAAACTTCATCTTATTTGGTCAACTCTCTCATCAGTCTTCACTATATTGCGTTTGGAGTTCTGTTGTTTTAGCTACTCTGATGCCGTTTTATTATGAAGGACCGCACAAGACACACTATACGAATTTACTTACTTCTGATCTCTTACATCTCAGGTTGATTCTACCAAACGTTTTTTTTACTCTTATCGCTAATTATGGCAGAAATTTGACTACTGTTGATCACTCAGATAATTTCAAATCATTCTGCTTACGACTGCTTAAGGAGTACTTAGGGTGAGCTCAGTGAATTAGCCTAGGCACGCATGGTTTAGCCCATTCGCCTTGCTCTCACCCTCCTACATCAACTTTGCTCAGAGCAATAGGATTTAATGCAGTATACCGAAAGCAACATCTCAGAGGAGCTAGGGTGAGCTCAACGAATTAACCGAGGTACGCATGGTTTAGCCCATTCGCCTTGGTCCCACCCTTTTACATCAAATCTGGTCACTTAAATAGAGAATGTGAAAGTAACTACCTTTGATACCGTTAGTCCAACCTCACGTTCTATTCACTATCCATGTTAATGTTTTGAACAGGCAATATAGTGGTCAAATTTGGATGCTATAATTCCTATTCATTTAGTTTGGTAGTATCAAAATTGAGAACATTTTTTTAATGATGATTTTATCTGAGTTCTTTTTCTTCCTGATGACTATTGCCTAGACTTTTTGACTAGTCGATGGCGCACTTTTGGTGCAATAAATAAATAAATAAATAAGTAAATTTCATTTGTTAACATAGTATTCTTCTAGTGATATTGTCACTCTGTTTTGCTATCTCCTACGCTCCTGCGATATCTATCGATACGACAAACTAGGACAAGAAGATTTCTCCAGTTTTCATGCGGCCATAAGGATGGATGCCCAGGAACAATTTGCGAGGTAGTTGCTTATTTGGGAAGTTCCTTCACTACATTTCTATTTGAGGTGTTGCGGCATCGCTAGGTTATTCACAGAATTGTTGCTGTCCATGCAGAGCTACCACGCGCAGAAATATTGTTGGACCTCTGGTCTGAGGTGCGACCTATGGTGTTTATGATCAAATGATCCTTCGCATCGTACCGTTATATTCTTTTTTAGAGGTGAGATGAGAGTGATGTAGGGAGGATGTCTGCTGAATTTTGGAGTCAGCGTTTTTGCAGTTTCGATCCCTATATACACGTGTATGTCTTACTGTTTTATCATTATATATACAGAGTCCATTAGAAACGTTCATATTTACCCGACTATTCAATTTTCGCAACTTCTGCTAGTTAGTAAAGGTTAATTTGCAACACATGTTCCCATATCTCATTCTACCTCTTTTACCTCACCAAATGATGTTACGTTTTGGATCGCATCTTATCTTCAAGCAAGAAATCTCGAATTTCCTGGTGTATAGCTTAGATTCAAAATCAGTAGCACTCCACAAACAGCATCTTAGCACAACAGAACTGATATCGATCAAAAAGCTTTAAATTTTCTTTCATAAATAAACTCATAAGTTTAGCATTCGTGCTATTTGGGACTATGCTAAGGACCTTTGGACAAACAGTTTAATTTGCTTTCTAGGTAAAGTACCTCTCAAATTAGGTTATCCGTCCGAGAAATAGTTACACACAAAAAAGCACATCGAGTTTTATAGATTTCACAAAATTCACAATTATGTTGTTCCGAACATTCACAATAAAAATCCCACTATCAAAAGTGGAACATACTACAGCTACAATTGCACCAGGGTCAGTGACAGTAACTTGCACACAAAAACCCTAATATAAGTGCGTAATGAAAAGATTACTACAAATTATCAAAGTCAAGTACTAAATCGAAGAAAAAAAGAACTGAAAAGATGGCTACCATTACTACAGTCGACTGCACGAAATTGCCCGGCTAGCCGTAGGCTGAACGCACGCGAGCGTGCCTGCGCCGCCGCTTCCGAGTACGGTCACTATGATGACTCATGCGTGTGAATGTCAATGTTAGCCGCAAATGACATGCGCGCGGGCGTTCAATCCCCGGGCGATTCCCTGCAGTCAACCATATCTACTCTCGTTCTGCTTCATACTCTGCTCGGGACATAGCGTTACACTTTCTTCGTCGGTTCGGATATCTCATCGTAACAGTCCATGCCGTAGCAGTCCATCGTTCATATCCTCATCGTCATTCCAGCTGCATAGCCTGAGGACGACGTAACTATGAATGGAACTAGAAAACCATTGGTTTAGAGATTTTTAGTACAACAGCAGCAAAATATTAAAACCTACCTCTCAAAAAGACTACTCTTTTGTCCTCAAAACTTTAGGTATTTCATATTACAGTCAGCGGAAACAGAGAAGGGAGAAAGCAGTTGCTATATCTGAACTTATAGTCACGCTCTACGTACAACATGAATCAAGAAAAATCAATCAAAACCATAGGAAATCAAAGTAAACATTATTTCTTTCTCACCTTATGTGAATCGGAGCGCTCCTCTTCGTTCATTATTCATCTTCGTAAATTTTTTGCCAAGTATCATGCGGGCTCCATAAGGCAGCTTGAGCTGACTAGCTGGAATGGATGTTTTCATGGTTGAGAGGTGATTAGTCCGCCCAAGACCCACTTTGTATTTAGACGAAAAATTGGTGGGTTTATGTATAGTAAAACCATTGATTCCATCGAGAATCGCTCTACAATGCACAGCATGTATGACCACTATTTTTTCAAAACATTGTAATTCCTGATACAAAAAGAGATGTTAATGACAGATAAAATTAGTACAAAGCATTTGACAGCACCTGCCGAAGCATCCTTTTGACGTCGAAGTCACGGCGATCCTTCTGCACAGATAGGAACAGACTCAAAGAACGCAGGTCTAATCTCCAGTCGCCTTCCATAGTCAAAAAGATGATTATATGGCGAAGTAGGGTCGCATCATCTGGAACAACGGTTTTTGATTGCAAATAAAACACACTCAGAACACTTATTTTTGAACTCTTCAATCAGAAAATGGCTAGTTTACAAGATTTTCTCAGAATTTTTTACGCACCACATGATGTACCCCTTGATCATTTATAATTGTTGAGTGCAAAACACCTACAATTCATTCGGAGAAGAAAGTGCACGACCTTTCCTGAGACTTCCAATTTTGGCCATGACGAACACTGGTGTTCTGACTGCCGCAGAGCATAGTTCCAAAATCTTGCTAACAAGGGAATGGTCAGAAATCGAAGTGACCAATCCACACAAGCTGCATACCATTAGATGCAGCATAAAACGCTGACTTTACATCTGTCTTTCGTATCTGCAGAGCGCTTTTGTGGACAAAATTATGACCCGTTAAAGGCCATTATTTTGCTAAGAAAATATGTGTGTAAAGGGCAAACTCGGCCGTACAGAGCCATACCCGGCTCAGTGCAAGACCAAAACATGCAACTAGGTCACTTCATATGGCCAGTACCTAAAGGTGAGCGAAAAGGGCAATAAAGTGCCTAATCTAGCAATTTTGTGTACGATTTTTTCGCGCTAAAGCTGATCATAACTTCGCTTACAAAGGCGCTCTGCAGATACGGAAGACAGATTTGAAATCAGCATTTTATGCTGCATCGAATGGTATGCAGCTTGTATGGATTGGCCACTTCGACTTCTGACCATCCCCTTGTAAGAGTTTTCTGCAGTGCTGATTTCTTATCATGTTGAATCTATAAAAAAAGATAAACATCCACAAAACCACCAGGTGAGCGCGTGTACCTACCTGGCACCAATGTCTCATCATCTGTTATTCTGTTTCGCAAATTTCGGCCGATTATGTGAATCTATACACATTTGACTACTCCCAACAGCACAAACTGGAACGAATACAGCTGTTAGCAGGCTCAGCAGAATCAACAAGTTTAGTCGCTACAGCAAGGAACATGATTATGGCAAGGATTTTCGCTTATCAGACACCATGGGCGCCTTCTAAATAAGAAAAGTATGCCCAAAATGTTCTCACCAAAATACTCTCTACTGGGCAAATTATTCTATTATTATTATTTTCTAGCAAATTCACTGCCTGTAACTTGATGACTAACATGATAAAACTCTATGAACTAACTACTTTTGCAGGCACGTTCTAAAGTGCACAGTTGGCAATAAGTGGCATGAAAAGATTAGCGTAACGATGATTTTCATCTGACTCGATCGAGCGATCCCAAGACTCATCGCCTTAAACCTTAAACAGCACGATCAAAAACTGCACCAAACAAAAACACTGTACAAGCTGTACAACCTATTACAAATTCGCACTCTTCTAACTTCCCTATCGCACTGTTTCCTGGTTCTTGCTCAAAAGAGTGTCATTTTTTAGCCCATTTACCATTCATTGCCTACTCTAAATCGTTAACGTCATAAGCACACCATACTGTAATTGCAAAAGACCGCCACAAATCACTCACAAAGGGTAATATGGACAAGAGAAATAATAGTTCGAAACCTTGGCCAAACCTCATTCCTCAGGCACTTTGGAAAACAGGCAAATGTGTGCAACGACTTCTAAAGCAAAAACTTGAAATTTACCGAGCATTAACCAAAACAAATCCTTTGCAGCAAAGATTAATTAAATGAGCACTCACACTGGACGTGATCCGCATCCGATTACTTCCAGAATTTCCTGACACATATCGCGAAAAAACAGTACGGATAACTTCATCAGCCTTTCATTGGGGTAAAGAGTGCTAGCAACATGTTCTTCATTTGATTTTTGTGAACTGCTCTGAGATCTCCTCGTCAAGAAACTTGATTAAAATTTTCAACTAAAAGGACGAGTTGCGAGTCCGTAAAAATCGTCTTCTTTCACAAATACATCTCTATAGCAAGAAAATACACTGAACATCGATCCTCAAAGGTTTGTATAAGGTAACCTCGATCAGCACACGTCATGCATGCATACTTATCAGAGGCTAGTACTTGTCCCAAGTAGATCTTTCACTGATGAATCGCGACAAACATATGTATATTGATGATGGTCAAACCACTGTCAAACATAAACATATTCTTGGAGAAAACTATCTAAAAATATGAAAATACAAAATCTGTATTTAGCATGGCTCTAAACATGAACATCAGCGAAGCCCAAGCAAAATTTATTGAATTAGTGCCTCAACAAACATGATTGGTGACGAAAACGGTATTTTTTCACTGATGAACTGCGACATTTTCGGAGATTTTCACTGAAACAAAAAAGCTACTAAGCTATGATAAGCTTCTGCCACATTTATCGTTCTAAGGGTAAACAACCCCCCCCCCCACCCCAATTACACCAGTATTTTCAATAAGATTTTTTCATCCAGATGTTGAAGTGATAGTCCAGGAACTGTTCGCATGCTTCATGTGCTAGATGGTCTACTGGGAAGGTTGGTCTGTATAAACCAGGGATTCTTCGTAAATATTTTTCAGGCAGAAACGGTATTCCTCCTATCGTGCGTTACCACTTTCTAGCTTCCCTGCAGTAACATCTTCCCTTTACATACTTCGTCAAACCTAGCGCATTTCTGCGCCTGCTCCAGGCTTGACTCAGATGGAAGAGACAGCCTTCGATAGATGAATTACAAAACTGCCCTTCTGCGCCCTTATTGAATATAATATTTCATGTGGAAATTTCCATTATCTGATCAACTGAGATGTACTAAGTTACTTTGTTTTCTAGTGTTTTTCTGAACGTGTTCATGTGCTGCGTTTTTTTCTCTTTCCTCATTTGGTTTTTTTTCACGAAATTTCTGTCTACCTAACTGAAACAAACATCTGGATCATATATTCGAAGTTCATAAATTGCTACCTGTTTAGCAGAAATAAGGTTGGCCATCGCGTTGTTATTTTCCTTTCCTCGCCGTTCTCAAAAGGCCTCAAAGTTGAATTTATCCTGAAGTCCACCGCAGCTTACTAAGTAGCTTTTCACCGTGTTCTTATTGAGGACAAAAATGCTATCCATTTATGATAAGCCTTCTACCACATTTGCCGTTCTAAGAGTCGACACCCCCATTTGCACCGATATTCCAATAAGATTTTTTCATCCAGGTATTGGAGAGATAGTCGAGGAACTGTTCGCATGCCTCATATGGATGGTATACTGGGAGTCCCAGTCTGGGACCGTTGGTCTGTATAAGCCAGAAATTCTTCGTAAATGATTTCAGGCAGAAACGTATTCCTCTTATCGTGCAATACCGCTTTCTAACTTTTCGGCACTGATATCTTCCTCCTACATATCTTCATACCTAGCGCATTCCTGCGCCTGCTCCGTGCTTGAGTTAGATGGAAGAGGCAGACTTTGACAGATGAAATGCAAAGCTGCCAATCTGCAGCCCTTATAGCGGCTGAGTCAAAATCCAAAATATTAGGTTGGTGCAAAAATAATGAGCGTTTTTATTTGCTTGCTTCAACAAAGCAACAAGACTCAACCCAACAAAGGTTAAGGGGTACTGTTCGATAGAGCAAAGCAAGCTCTACAAGATGGCACTCATGCCTTTGCGCCATGCTCGATCCACGGAGAGTTCGAACTCAAAATCTAAAGATTTCCAAATGCCCAAAAAATCGAAAAAAATCAGATCTTCGTCCAAATAATTTCTACGGACCTCCCACTCGCTCATATCAATACTATCGATATCTGATATCCATATGTGCGATTGCCGTATTTTTTCCTGGACTAGAAAATGAGAAAACGAAAATTCCCCTGATTTTCTCAAAGCAATGCTGAGCCGTTTTTGCATATGTAGTTCTATACTACAAGCCTAGGTAAGCATAACTGTAGATTTTCAGCTCATTCCAAGCGGTAGTTTTCGAAAAATAACGAATTCGGATTTTTTCGTTTCAGTTTCAGTGCTAAAATCGATATTTCTTGAAAAGTAGCGCTCGAAATAGGCTGAAAACTTACAGTTATGCTTATCTAGGCTTGTAGTATAGAACTACATATGCAAAAACGGCTCAGCATTGCTTTGAGAAAACTAGGGAAATTTTCGTTTTCTCAGTTTCTAGTCAAGGAAAAAATACGGCAATCGCACATATGGATATCAGATATCGATAGTATTGATATGAGCGAGTGGGAGGTCCGTAGAAATTATTTGGACGAAGATCTGATTTTTTTCGATTTTTTGGGCATTTGGAAATCTTTAGATTTTGAGTTCGAACTCTCCGTGGATCGAGCATGGCGCAAAGGCATGAGTGCCATCTTGTAGAGCTTGCTTTGCTCTATCGAACAGTACCCCTTACCCTTTGTTGGGTTGAGTCTGGTTGCTTTGTTAAAGCAAGCAAATAAAAACGCTCATTATTTTTGCACCAACCTAATATTATAATTCTTGGTAACTGTATCTTGGGTCGACTGAATCTATTCGTGCGACGCTCTTGCAAAGACTTTTTCATAGGTCTCCTGCGCTTTACTGCGCATCAAAGCATAGAATGATGGTACATGAAAAGGCATGTACATTTGCACATTTGTAGACCAATATCGTTTTCCGTATCGCTTATCTATGTGGAAAAATCTTATGAATCCTACCCATAATCAGTCTTTCTTGTTTTTGTTCACATGCATTCTGTAACTCCACATTTTTTTCATCTATCAGTTATTGTCAGCTCACATACTGGCTGATGTTTTCACGTTTAGTAATACAGAACTTTGATGCGTGATTCCAAGATATCCCTCTGTACCTAACTGAAACAAACACCTGGATTCATTTAAAGCAAACAAACTGCTACCTGATCAGCAGAAACAGGTTGATCGGAAACATGTCGCATATCTATTCTCTCTTTTTAACGTTCTAGGACAGCCTCAAAGTTTAAATTTTGTTAAAATAATCTCCGCAGCTTACTATCAGCTTTAGCAAATCCGTGTTTTCACTGAAGAGAACATTATCAAAAACACTACCAACCTATGACGAGCTTCAGCCAGTTTGTCATTCTGAGTGTCGACACATCCCACTTGCAATAATAATTCTAATAAGTTTAAAGGCACCGTCCACCCAAAGTGAGGGTTGATGAGATTTCGGTGCATACTAGTGTGGCCCCCACACTAGGCAAACCCCCAAGTAGCGCCGCAAAATACTCCCTCCGAAGCGAGAAATCCGCTCCGGAAGGGACG